TTAGGAATTATTATTATTATTATCCATCAGCATTATATCTTTTTTCTTTTCCTTATTCTTTTTTCTTCTTCTTCTTGTTCTTTTTCTTCTGTTTCTTCTTCTTCCTCTTCTTCTTCCTCTTCTTCTTCTTTTTATTATTATTATTATTCTCTTCTTACTTGTCCGTTCTTTTTCGTTTTCTTCTTTTGGCGTGTTTTCCCTTTTCTCCTCTTTTTTGTAACCTTCTTGAATCTTCAAGTTCTCATTCCTTGTCGCATCCCAATTTTTCTCCACCTCTTCCTCTCCCTTTTTTCTCCACACCGCTTCTTCCTCTACACCTCCTCCTCTCTTTGGACAACCTCCTCCTTTTCATTTCCGGTCGTTTTCTCTCCTTCAGAGGTCGCATTTCCAATACATTAAACGAATTGGTGGCGACAGTAGGCCCTTCAAATCTCACAAGGTGAAATTAAAAATCAACCTGATAAAATACATAGAAGGTACCAAGATAAGCCGATGACAGAAAGGAATGGAATCGCGATGGCTCGTGTCACGTACTGCACGGGGTTCGTGGCTTTGTAATACCATTACAACTGCAGACAAACAACATACTCTCTCCCTCACACTCCCCCTCTTTCTCTCTGCCTGTGTTTGTGCGTGCGTCTATCAAGCAAAGTGTTTAGTGTGCAAACTATTCATAATCTGTTTTATACGAGAAAAGTAATGTTGTTTGCAATGTAAAAAAACGTATTCGGTCTATATTTCTGAGATGAGACATTGTAATTATTTAAATTATTTACATTGTTCGGACTGTTGTCTTCATCTTTATTTCCATGTTCACGACGTTTCGGTCGTTGTACTCCCCGGCCTTCGTCAGGATCTGTATATATTTCTGAGATGAGATATTGTAATTATTTAAATTATTTACATTGTTCGGACTGTTGTCCTCGTTTTTGTTGCCATATTCACGACATTTCGGCCATTGTACTCCCCGACCTTCGTCAGGTGATTGGAATTTCGAACTAAAGCCTTCATTTCGTCCACACGAGTAGATTGTTCTAGTTTCACGTGCCACGCCTCTTTCGGGTGTCTCAGTAATCTCCCTTTAACTCAACTCCGCAAGTTTTTGGTTCACCGCAACTGTAGCCTGGTATCGAACTCACAAATCTTTAGGTCTAGTCATTGTATCTAACCAGAGGATACGTGGCCCAATGGATAAAGTCGTTGGTTAGATCCCAAACCCAATTACTTGTGAGTTCAATATCAGACTACAGCGGTGGCGAACAAAAAAACAAAAAACTTAGAGAATTGAGTTAAAGGGAGATAAATGATACGCCTGGAAGAGGCAAGGCACGTGGAACTAGAACAATGGACGAAATAAAGGGTCCAGTTCGAAATTCCAATCACCTGAAAAAGGTCGGAGCGCACAACGGCCGAAACGTCGTGAATATGGCAATAAAGATGAGGACAACAGTCTGAACAATGTAGGGATGTCCTATTATTTAACTAAAAAAAAAAAATAAACTGTGATGAAATAGGCGGTCCAGTCAAAATAGTGGAGATTGATAAAACATTAATTATAAAAAGAAAAATATAACAGCAGCTGAGTCCTTCATCAACTATGAAAATAATTTTGCTGATTGATAGTCACTTTGAAAATTAGGTATCTCCACATTTTTCGCTGAAAAAACAGCATAGCATGATGAAAAAAAGGTCCCAAACTTAATAAAAACAAAGTTTCATCGTCAAAATGTTTATGTTATTATTAAGAGGAAAAAACCAAAGCATTTTTTTTATTATTTTTTTACATTTTTAATCCTTTCTAGCACGTGCGTAATTTTGGTTAAAAAATCTTGTTTGTTTTTTCTTTTTTTTTTTTTTTGCGTTAGAGGTCGACGTGATATTTACGTAGTGTTTTTTCGCTTTTTTTCCGGTGAAAAAGACATTGATTTGGGAATTCTTGCGAAAATCAAATAATTATCTGATTTTAATGAAACTTTCAGGACATATTCACAAATGAATTAAATTATTTTTGAATGTTTGTTAAAAAATCTTGGTAACAATATTTTTTTACATATGTTACCCACCCTCTTGCTTAATTTCATGAAATTTTGAGAAATTAAATTTTCATCCTAAAATTTGTCTTCTTAGTTAAAAGCAGAACTCCTTAGAGAATATAATTCATTATTCTTTTATTCAGGCTGCTACTCATTTTCCAAAAATCTGCTCCGAATCGTAAAATAAAAACATATGCAATAAAACTATGACATTATTTAATTAGAAAAGCCTTTAATTTCTTTTACAAATAAGATTTATTAATGACATTATGTTGGTTGAATTGGAAAAAAATGGTTGGATGATTTCTTGCTGCCAAAATATACCTATGGTTATAGTTTTGAATTCAGAGTTGTCCTTCTTCTAGACTGGTTGCAAACCGCGTCTAGAGATCCAAGATTACTTTGCTATTTAACCCATAGCGGGGGAGTGGAGAAGAGATAAATTAATACCTACTCAAATGTATTTGCGTGTAAACAAATGCAAAGAAATCTACTGAAAATTTAACTCTGTTCTCCGATTTCATATCCCGAGCCTTTAACACATGACACTAACCCTGACCCTATCCATGACTCTATCCAAAATCCCATCCCTGACCCCATCCCTGACCCTATCCCTGACACTATCCCTGACCTTATCCCTGACCCTATCCATGATTAATACCTGACTATTACTTCTAACCCTGTCCATGACCCCATCCCTGATCCTATCCCTGAACCTATCCCTGACCCTGTGCCTGACCCTACCCATGACCCTATCTATGGTCAATACCTGGCTATTATTCTGATCCTATCCCTGGCCTTGTCCATAACCCTATCCCTGACTCTATCCCAAATCCTATCCCTGACCCCATCCATGACTCTTTCCCTGACCTACACATAATCCTATCCCTGACCCTATCCCTGACCCTATACCTGATCCTACCCATGATCAATCCCTGATTTTATCCCTGACCCAAACTATGACCCTATCCATGATCAATACTTTACTCTTACTTCTAACCCACTCCCTGACCCCATCCCTGACCCTATCCATAATCCTATCCCTGACCCTATCCATAATCCTATCCCTGACCCAATCCGTGACCCTATCCCTGACCCTACTAATAACTCTATCCCTATACCTGACCCTACCCATGATCCTGTCCCTAACCCTATCCATGATCAATCACTGATTCAATCCCTGACCCTAACCATGACCCTATCCATGATCAATACTGACTAGTACTTCTAACCCCATGACCTTGTCCATGACCCCATCCCTGACCCCATCCATGACCCTATCCCTGACCCTACCTATAACCCTATCGCTAACCCCATGCCTGCCCCTATCCACACACCCACAGCAATATATGTTAAGAAGTTAGCAATGACTGTGCTGAGATTATATTCCAGTACAGCATTTCACAACACCGTAACGACTCATGCCAACAACGTACAACGGCCGAATCTTTGTGAATATAGCAATAAACATGAGGATAACAGTCCCAATAATGTAAATAATGTAAATAATTAAGGATACTTGTACTTAAAATCAAAAAGAGTCGAAATTTCTGGGAGATATAAAAAGGAAAGAAGGCTTAGAAACTTAAACACTCCCGGGGACATTTTGAAGATGTGAATCAGATGGAAACAGCAAGTAACGTACTCAACGTGCTTTTGCAAATGGATGACAGCACATTGACTGAGAGGGTTATTAAAAAGACAAACATTGCATTGAGCTACAAAGGTTAATGAAGTTGAGGAGAGCCATGATTATTTACATCCTGAAGAGATTATGCACATATGAGACGAAAACAACAACAACAAAAAAGAAACAAAGAAACTGCTATGTAATATCTACCTTTCAATATGGCAATGAATGACGGACAATTTCCTCATAGATGAAGAGGATACTTGAGGCAAAAAAGATGTGGCTCTACAGAAGGATGATGCGAATACCCTGGACTGAACATGTGAGCAGCGAGAAAGTTTTAACGTGAAAAAAGCTAAAAGGACATTTGTATTTAGAACCAGAAAAAGACAGTCGAAATTTCTGGTGTACATTAAAAAAAAAATGGACTTGCCGAATTTAGCACTTCCATGGTGCAATAAAGGACACTCGCTATTAGAAACAAAAATAAAAAGAGAGAGTTTTGAACTGCTATGTAATATCAGTCCTTTCATAAAACAGTGGATGAAGGGCATTTTCCTCATGGATGAAGAAAAGAGATGAGGCAACAAAAACGCGGTTCTACAGAAGGATGCTGAGAATGACATGGACGGGACAGCTGAGTAACGAGGACGTTTTTTTGGGGAAAAATGATTAAAAAAATACGCTTGTGCTTAGAATCGGAAAGAGATAGTCGAAATGCCTGGGATACAAAATAAGGAAAGGAGGTTTCTAGAATCTCACACTCACAGGATATATTGGAGGCAAGAAGGCCCAAGGGAAACAGAGAGTTTTTCTTACTGGACGGTAGAATATGAAGTGGGAGCGACAGAGTTAGGGGAAAGTTTTAACTAAAACTTCGAATCAGAAAGAAATAGTCGGTATATCTAACTAAAGATCTTACGCAAATGGATAGCAAGACATGCACTGGGAGGGACAGTAAGGGAACAAATACTGGTTACCCAGGATAGGAAGTTGTGGAAACCTATGGTCGCCCACGTTCTGAAGGGACACGGTTCAAAGAAGAAGATGGAGAATGGACCTATCCTAGTATATTTGGCAACTCACTAATATACATCCTAGTGTAAGAGTTTGGGAAAAATTCCCATTATCTGAAATTACGCTGTGTTCTAGGCTAAACCACTAAATGTAACACTCATCAGTTTTCCTTTAAATGTATTTATCTTGTTCAACATCCAAGCCATTAGAAAACATTCGCTTGCGTAGTGATTCTGCAAGCGTGGGGGAGCGCACCTGTTTCATGTCCCTGGTGTTTTAGAACGGAACTAAGAAAGAAAGATGAAAGTTATCTTTGTCGATTAGACTAGAGGAAGGAAGTGAGGTAGGAAAGGAAGGAGCCAAATAAAGGAAGGAAGGAAGGAAGGAGACATGCGTATATGCCGGGTGATGACAAAGCAATCTTGAAAGAAAGAAAAAGAAAGAAAGAAAAAAGAAAGAAAGAAAGAAATGGCAAGAAAGAAAGAAATAAAAAGCAAGCAAGCAAGAAAGAAAGAAATAAAGAAAAGGAAAGAAATAAAGAAAAGGCAAGTAAGAAAGAAAGAAAAAGAAAGAAAGAAAGAAAGAAAGAAAATGCAAGTAAGAAAGAAAGAAAAAGAAAGAAAGAAAGAAAAGGCAAATAAGAAAGAAAGAAAGGCAAGAAAGAAAAGGCGCGAAATAAAGAAAATGCAAGTAAGAAAGAAAGAAAGAAAAAGAAAGAAAGAAATAAAAAGCAAGAAAGAAAGAAAGAAAGAAAGACAAGAAAGAAAAGGCGTGAAATAAAGAAAAGGCAAGAAAGAAAGAAAGAAAGAAAGAAAGAAAGAAAGAAAGAAAGAAAAAGAAAGAAATAAAAAGCAAGAAAGAAAAGGCGAGAAATAAAGAAAAGGCTTGTAAGAAAGAAAGAAAGAAAGAAAGGAAGAAAGAAAGAAAGAAAGAAAGAAAACACCGAGAAAAAATAAGAATAAATACATCATAGATAAAAAAATTAAACGCAATAAAAGCCATTATTTTGCAGAAAGGTAAAAAGCAAGAAAGAAAGGAAGAAAAAATCTAACAACTAAATATATTTAAAATGCTCAGAAAGAAGCAATAATAATAATAATAATAATAATAGTTTGCAAGATGTAAAAATATAAGGATAAATAATAAAAAAAAAATCTGAAATGATTGAAATAACCATTAAAAATGATTTTAATCTAGGCAGACAAGAACCGTCAAGTTTTATGAAAATGCGAAACATAAATGAATTATCACCATTGAAAATTATTTTTATTGATACATATATTTGTTTAACTTGGCCAAGAACATGGCAAGATCAAACTGGGTGATGAAAATCGTGTTAGGCCAGATTTGAAATCGAAAAAGACTCAAATATTATTTTTTAAATAAGAAATCAACTGTTGGCGTCGTTCTAACCAACCAAATGGTGTTGCCCAGTTTTCCTTTCTGCTGTTTCCTCTTTTCAAATCTCGTCCTCTTGATGGTTCTTGAATGAACTTTGACGATGAAAGCCAGAATGTTGGTACCATTACTGGGGGGCGTGGGTGATCTTTTTCCTCTCACCATTGCTCAATTGAGAAAACATAGTGGGGCTAGCATAAGATGATTTCAACCTGTTCTCTTCCTAGCTGAATAACTCAAAGGGTTTTTCAGCGATTCTTACGACAAATGGTGTCAAGATGGCTAAACTTTTTTCTGAAAATCTGGGGAAAAGAAACTCAGTGAGTTTAGTTTTTTGGTTTTTTTTTTTAGATCTTAAATATTTTGTGAAATGGACAATTATCCCATGACTCAATTTTATTTTTATTTTATATATATATATATATATATATATATATATATATATATATATATATATATTGTTGCTTTTGATTTGGACAATTTTGCTTTTACACCGGTATATATATATATATATATATATATATATATATATATATATATTGTAATAAAAATAAATTTTTAAAACTCTCCCTTTCCTCTCTAATTTCGACCATATCTCTCACACTATCCCTCACCACCTTCTATAAGCTTAATACTGCTCTTCAAAAGTGAAAATTTTGAATTCATTTTTTTCTCCCTTGAAAGTGAAGTCTGAAAATACAGATAAAAATAAAATCTCTGGTGAAATAAATTATTACAATGTAACCTTAAAGTGGTCTGTTTTTTCTTTAAATTAAATTATTTGCTCTGACTTAACATTGAGCTCTCCGGATTTCATCCTCCTTGGGATTATCCATACGGATTAACAAGATTTTCATTACATATATATATATATATATATATATATATACTGTCATCCACGGACAGACTGTTTCGCTGTATCACAGCTCATCAGTGTTGCCAGACGTTCAGTTGCCTCTAGCTAGGATCGAACCCCGAATTGGCATCAGTCAGGATTATATATATATATATATATATATATATATATATATATATATATATATATATATATATATATATATATATATATATATCTGATATATGTATCATATACCATATTGGTTGATAGAAAGAGTATGAGAAGTTGAAAATTTAATAGTACCATTCTCACATAACAAACTCACCAATCTAGGTAAAAGTAATATTAAAAGCTCTCCGGCTGCTTTTGAATCTTGACAGTGTTAGCAAACATGAACTTTTGACTGGCTTGCCTCCCGTGTCATAGGCTCGTCAATTACACGGTGCCACACGCACACGACGTTGTGTCATACGAAGACGAATCTGTGTTGTGTGTTGAATTGCCTTTTGTTTCAAGACCTCCTATGTAGGCAACTCAATTCTATTTTAGATGGTATTTGTCTTCATTTAAAAACCTCTAAGTGGAGGCAGCTGTATAAATGACTGATTAATGGAGTATTAGTTCCTGAGATGATGTGTCACAGTCGCATGACAACGTAATTCGTAAGTGTGCGTATGGGCGCGCTTATGTGTGCATATACGCGTATACGGGATTTTTTTTCTTCAGATTTATGTACATCCTTGTGCAAATTAATTGAAACAACCGCTTTAGTTTCCTTTCTTTCGCCATTCGATCAGTTTTAGACCCACTGGAGTGACAGGGTGTAATCGATTTCTATTTTTTCCTCAAATTAGGTCATTTGCAGTGGTGTGCTGTAATATAAATTTATTTTCGGGGTGTATGATGAAATTTGTTTGGTCTTGAAAATTATTGCGTCATCCATGATTGCGTCAGATTTTTATCACGCCCAGAATCTATTGTCTCGACTGTCGATTAGTTGTCCTACGGCCATTGTCTGCGATGGACGTTACTCCAAGGAAGCGTACGAAAATTGTAACACTGCACGAACACAGTAGCAAGCTTTACCAGTGAGCAAATCAAAGTACTATAGACTGGCCCGGAAACTCTCCTGATTTAAATCCAATCTAGAATCTGTGGTCAATTTGCAAGGAACGACTTCGTGGAACGGACATACGAAGTATTAATATGTGCACTGGGTCATATTTCATTGGAAAAATGCGATAAAATAAATAAATAAGTAAGGAATTTTTCGTTTTGATTCAATTGATTTGTAAAAGGGTGTATATGCGTATTTGCGCTAAGGACTTTCTTCATTATCCTTTACCATCTGTTGGCCGTTACATGAAGTGCAATTGTAGTTCAGTTGAAATATTAAAGTTCTTTCTTATTACACGCCGTTACATAAGTTACATTTGCTTCAATGTCGATATTTATTTAAGTGCATCTCTCAGTCAGAACTGGAGGCCAATCTCAAATATCGTCATTCAATTTAGGGTGATTTAGGATTGCGGCAGTTCGCTGTTGTAGAAATTCAATGTATAAAAAAGAGATTAAGAGCATAGTTAATTTGGCGCGAAAAAAATTTCTATATTAAAACTCTCGAATGCACAGGCCGTTTTAGCTAAATTTACACTCCTTAAAGAAAATATAGGTATATCTGTTCGTATCTATCTATCTATCTATCTATCTATTACAGTCTGTTCATATCTGTCTCTTTCATTCTCTTCACATCTTTCTCTCTCACCTTCTCTATCTATCTGTCTGCTTCTTCGTCTCTGTTCATATACACATTTTATGAAATGAACAAAAATTATGTAAAATTTTCATATGACACATATATATATATATATATATATATATATATATATATGTTTTATTTTTAAAAAAATATGATTCCTTCGCTACATAAGAGTTCTCATGCTTCAAAAACGTGAGCCGAAAACCTCAATATAATTATTAAAATTAGATTGAGTTAAAGTATCAAGCCCTGTTTCATCCTCAAGCGAAAATTTAGGAATAACCAATCCAAATTTAAGCATCTTTATAAGCATGTTCAGAAATGAAAACAAAAATTCTAAAGAACTCCGGATCATTTACCTAACGTGTTCTTTACTATTTTTCTACATATCTGCACACACACACACACACACATATATATATATATATATACATTTCATTGAATAAAAATAATTGAACTCTTTTATATAATTTATCGTCCGAAAAGGAAAAATTTAAAAGATCACACAAGAAATTGTATAAAAAAGTAAATCAAAGCACCTTGTCTGTCGTATTTAATGACATGTGCATGAAAGAAGAATTACTGCCCAAACACACACACACTCACCCATTTATATATATATATATATATATATATATATATATATATATATATATATATATCTTCCTTTTTTCATATATATATATATATATATATTTACAGGAATCATTCATACAAAAAAACAGATATAGAAGTTAATGATTTAAAATGGTGAAATACAATTTCAGGAAACAATATTAATAAAGTACATTAACCCCGAACCTGTATATGAATATGTTATGATTCAGTGTTTATGCCACATTGACTGAAAAAACCTATCAGTACAAAAAGAATTCTCATTGGATTTAAATTAGGAGAGTTTCCGGACAGTTTATAGTACTTTCATTTGCTCAATGGTAAGCCTTGCCAGAATTCTTTTGTACTGGTAGATTTTTCAGTCAATGTGGCATGAACTAAATTGTTCAATAAATACAGGAATGTCACAGTTATTATCCGAAAGTTGCACGTCGGATCAGTTATTTTAATATCAAATATGTGGTGCAGTTCAATTTACATTACATGAATCATTCATACAAAAAACAGATATTGAAGTTAATGATTTAAATGGCGAGAATACATCTTCGCAAACAATTTTAATAAAGTACATTAACCCCGAACCTGTATATGAATGTTATGATCCCTGTTTATGCCACATTGACTGAAAAACCTACCAGTACAAAAGAATTCTCCTATTAGCATATTAGTACAAAAACGCACAATCTTAAAATTTAAAAATTCAACTTCAGCGTTGCGACCGCACGCTCCAAAAAAATTTCTTACAATTAACAATAACACATTTCTGAAAAAGACCTTATGCAACTGGAATTTATAAACAGGGATATTAACATTCATCTACAGGTTCGGGGTTAATGTACTTTATTAAAATTGTTTGCGAAGATGTATTCTCGCCATTTAAATCATTAACTTCAATATCTGTTTTTTGTGTGAATGATTTATGTAATGTAAATTGAACTACACCACATACTTGATATATATAAATATATATATATTCGGCCGTTGTACCCTCCGGCTTCACTCAGGCGTCTGTCGCATTCGGTAATCCTTAAGCTTTCAAACGGAACAATTTATGTGGTTAGCGAGAGAATGTTATTTCCATTCCTTTTTTTATTTCTCATGTCAGTCGCTCTTCTTAAGGAATTTCAGAAGTCGTAATTGTCAATTAAAATAATCTTCCTCTTCGCAAAAAAAAAGCGGTTTATATTTCTCCACTACCTGTCACAAGGACCGGACTGACAAATTCTAGAGTAGCATTGGAAATTTACTACCATTTTTGTTCGGTATAATTAAATTTATTTCTTGGTTCGTCCAACCTTCTTTTTCCTAACGCTTTAGCTAAACGAAATTATATTATTTTTCTTTTTGTTTCACATTGT